AGGAGGAGGAGGAGGAGGAGGAGGAGGAGAAGGAGGGGGAGCGGGAGGAAGCGCAACACGTAAGCTCAAGAGGTCGGTTACGTATCGCAAAGAAGAGGTTCCCGGAGGCGGGCTAGGGATGGATGGGTGTGTTGGCTGCCAACCACAAGAATGGAACTCGTCGACGTTTGTTGTTCTTGCTTTTTCTGGTGTGGTGTCGAACGCAATGTTTGCAAGTATTGTGCGCTACCCATTACTGTTGGTAGTAATTATATGGGCAAATCCCCGTTTTGTCCCCGGGGGGGAACACAAATTTCGTGTCCCCTGGTGGCAAGTGGCCAGTAAAATGTGCAATAACTAGAGGGTTTGTCCAACCGGAACAGTGGTCTGAAAAGCGCATAAAATGGCAAGATATAGGGAAATTCCCGTTTTGTCCCCGGGGGGGGACATGAAGTTCGTTTCCCCTGGTCGGAAGTGGCCAGCAAGGTTTGCAAAAATTGTAGGGTTTATTCTACCGGAACAGCGGTCAAAAACGCGCTTAAAATGGGCAAGATATGGGCAAATCCCCGTTTTGTCCCCGGGGGGGACAGAAAGTTCGTGTCCCCTGATTTGCGTTTCCCTATACATCGAGTACGACAAATCACCAAGTTTCGCTGAAAACCCACCTTCCCGACCCCGGATTAAAAATCTGAGACCGATTATCGCATCTACACACCGACAGCAACCCACAACTGAATTTTCAGAGCTTAGGTGGTTTGGCAACATTATCAATCTCAACCCCTCCCCGGCATATACCGGAAGGCGCACCAGCTAGACGACCCAACCGGGGTCACACAAGAGGGGGGGTTGGACCCCCTCCTGCGGTTCCTGCCTGAGATATTTTTATCGCGAGAAGGGTACAGCAATCCCTTCCCTCGCGACTTACGAAGTCGATTATGGTTTACTAACAGCGAGCTTTGTAGCAATAGCTTTGCGGTTTCAGTTCTTTTGTTGTTTCTTTTATTTGTCAAGCAGATGTGCTATTCTCTAAACTTAAAGGAAAAGGCTATCAGTACAATAGTCTTGAGGTCCCTTTGCAGCCAAGTCACCCATGAGGGCATGAGGGCGCGCGTCCGAACGGACGACGGGCAGTACTCGGAATACTTCGACGTGGGCCAAGGCCTCCGACCGGGAAGCAACCCGGCCTCGCTGCTGTTCAACTTGTTGTTCTCTGACGACGCGGCCATCGTCTCGCGCTCGCCGGAGAGTCTCGAAAAGGTTGTGTCGGTCATCGTGCGCGTGGTCGGCCGGTTCGGACTGATGGTATCGGAGCCAAAGACGGAGATCATGTGCATGCTGCCGAAAGGGATCGAGGAACGCCCGTTCACGGTCAGCGCCGCCGGCCAGACGTACAAGCAGAGAGATCGGTTTGTGTACCTCGGACGTACCATCTCCGCGGACGGGAAGGCCGACCGGGAGATCACGAGCCGCAGCTGCCGAGCGTGGAAGTGCTACCGCCGGAACAGTGCTTCGATGTACGACAGGCGACGGGCCGACCGCCAGCTCAAGATCCGGCTACCCCAGGCTGAGGTGGTGGAGACTCTCCTATACGGGTGCGCCTCGTGGAGCCTAACGGCGGCACATTACGCGAAGCTCAATGGGACCCACTGCCAGTTCCTTACACGGTGCATCGATCGGCTGGAGCAAGCGAAAACAAACAAACGCTCAGACCGCCCTGTCCTATGCCCAGGCCCTCATCATCCAGGCCGACTGCGAGGAAACCATCAAGGCCACCGTGCGCAAACAAAGACTGTGTTTCGCGGGCTTTGTTATGCGCATGGAGGACAACCGCCTCCCCAAGCGCATGCTGTTAGGAGCGATGGCGGGGGGCGGGGGATACCGGGGCGGGCAGGAGAGCGACTGGGTGTCTCGTCTAGGAGAGGAACTCGTGGCCTTCAACATGGGAGACGAAAAGGAAAGGGGTAAATGGAAAGAGAGCGCCAAGGACCCGGAGGTATGGTACAACAAGGTCGAGGACGGGGCGGCATGGTTCATGAGGAAATGGCTCAGGCAGGAGGCGAAAGCGTCCGCGAAGCGCCAGCGCGCGAAGGAAGCAGAAGCAGAGAGTACGGCCATCTCGGGACCGAAGGGATGAGAGTCAGGGAAGCGGCGGTAGGGGGGAAGAAACGGCCACCGGGCACTGCTGTAGAAGCGAGTAGGGCGGCCGAGGCAGCACTTGTGGCGAACTTTTATTTTTTTGTCCCATCATTGGACTCTGTCGTCTGCCCCTCTGGCCCCTATCCTCCACTTCTACTAGCTAGACGACCCAACCGTGGTCACACAGGAGGGGGGGGTTGGACCCCCTCCTGCGGTTCCTGCCTGAGATATTTTTATCGCGAGAAGGGAACAGCATATATATGTTTTTTGTCTCCCATCATTGGACTCTGTCGTCTGCCCCTCCTCTGACCCCTATCCTCCACTTCTATCAGGTAGACGACCCAACCGGGGTCACATAGCATGTACCCGGCTGATGTTTTTGCGCCTGTTTCCCTCCCTGCTGTATGCTATACTCCTCAATGTATGTCCTTTGTATTGCCTTCAGCCTCTGTGATGTGTTTCTTTTTTCCATGTCCTCCCTGCCTACTCTGCCGTGTTGGATACCTTGATCTCCCTTGTTTTTCTTTTACATCTGGCTGTCTGCCCATCTGCCGCCTTGTTGTTATGTTGACTCCGTTGCTCCCATGCCCTGGTGGTGCGTAGTGCCTGGTGCTGGTACGTTACCCTTTGATTTTTCAGGCGGGTGTGGGAAGCGTCCTCCTATATTTTTGCGTTGGTTTTATTATGATCGGTTTCCAAGGGCTCTTTTTTTCTCGACCGGTCGGTGCGGTAGCTGTTATTTTCTTTCTTCGATCATTATTGCGTGCACTTGCCAGGAAATCATATTTGTTTCTTCTGTAGTTTGTGAATGTTTATGTAGCCGAATTAAATTTGGCTCTGGTTTTTTGATACGATGGTTGGAAATAATGGCACACACGTGAAATTTGGCCGAAGTTTGCCTGCGTGCAGGCAAGAAGACCTACAGGAAGTCGAGGGACGGAAAAACGAAAACGAAGAGGCCACATCAGCCCCAGCAAACACGACAGGGAGGCTGATGCACAGCCTCGCAGTCGGTCTGGTTTTCCACCCTGCTTGTACTTCCGCTCTCGCTCTGTATCTGTCTGTGTCTGCTTGTCGGTCTCAGTCTGACTCTATCTCTTCGCTCTCTAGCCTTATGATTCTTGTGACACTATATAGACTATATGCGCATAGATTCGTTGAGCGGTGGGCGGGGAATAAACTTTTTCTCCGAAGGTACAAGGATTTAACCAGCAATAATACCTAAAGAAAGGAATATAAAGAGGAGAGTTAAGAGCATAGTCTAATCTTTTACCAACCCAAGTTAAATATTCATCTTGACTTACCGCTTAAACTACGATGGGCGTAAAACCATGATTAACTCCACAAAGTTCGCTACATTGACCACAGAAAACACCTTCCCGCTTAAAAAACATGAATAATACTTGATTTAAACGACCAGGAGGACAAGCATCTACTTTATTTAACACCTATACTTGGCGCAGCCCACGAATAAAGAACATCCCCAGCTGTAATAAGCATACGTAGAAGTATATGTCTATTAGTTGGAACAAATAGACGATTATCTACTTCAAGTAGACGGAAAACTTTACCTGCTTTACCTGTACCAAAAGCTTCTGGAATTACGAAATCCTCATCAGCTATAAGATATGAATCAAAATCAATACGCTGTAGTTCTTCATCTATCTTCTTCGATATTAGATAAATCCTTTTCATCATTAGAGTTTATTTGCTCGTTACTCTTTTCATTTTTTTCGATTTCTTCAATAACCATAAGCTAAAAGATTTTTCAAAAAGAGTTAATTAGGTATTCGATTCAGTTTTATCAACGGTTTTTAACAGATCTGTAAATGAAAATTTTCTTTTTGCAATCCTTCTTGATCATAAGAAATTTCTCCATCATGAGATTCAGATAAAATATACTTATTTTTGCAACAGATTTTGACCCAAAAATCGTGACCGTTTAAAAAAAAGGAAAACAGCCGGCCTTTCTCTGTGGCATATTCAGAAACGCAAGATTACAATCTTTTAACGGTAAGAGTCGACTAGCGTGGTGGTAGCGCGTGGAAAATGTCTCTTGATGGGGTGGGTTCGCATCCATCCGTTGATGCTCTGGCATTACTTGTTCCCGGAAAAAAGTTGTGGGCGGCAACCGTTACTTCCGTGCGGTGCCACGGACGTTCCACCCTAGCGTTCGTAAAAACCCCAAACACAATCAATTTAAATGAAAGTACTGCTGACATACTTTTTGTTTTGTTTTTCCGAGTGGTTTTTACCCTTTCTTTGTTTTCTTTCCCCGCGGCGTCGTGTGTGCGGGGTTTTGAGACCACGGGCTCCCCATTTTTGTGGACTAGACTATATATCTAATGTGAGAAATAACAACAACAAGCCCATTGTCTCGTTGTCTGGCAAGGAGCATGGCATTCTTCGATTTTGTACTGTGTTTAAGTCCGCAATATCATCCGCGCGTCAAGATATTGTAGTCATGTACTGTAGATTGTATACATGAAGCGTTGGCAGTTAAGCTATCCGAGGAGAGGGGAAACTGTCTTATATATGACACTATCACTTGCAGGCGAAACGTACGTGCGGTGGTACATGACTCATCGCGCCGCACGCTCGCACGAAATAACTATCCACCTGTCACCAGTCACACCCACGTCATTCCTCGAAAAAAACACGTGACCTGCAACAACACGGACGTTTTCAGTTGTGTCCGGTATGTTCGGTGGGGAGTAGGAGGCGTCAAACCCCTCTATTCTGCTTCCGAGGGACTCCCCCCCTCCCCCCCCCGGCACTTGGTGATGTACGAGCCTGGTCCGGTGAGAACCCGGCGCGCTCCGCTCAGCCGTTGTAAGGGTGGGAATTCAAAAGTCTAACGACCATGGCATGCTCGGCTACTGTACGAGTACACCGCCCCAAAAAAATCCAACCCCCACTCCTCATCCTTCTTCACATCATTAAAAAACTGCACACAGATGGGCGAGACCACAGGGAATGTCCAATTCCCAAACGCTTGCCTTAAGCCATCATGATTTGATGACGGGATTAGGGGGAGGGGGGGATCTCTTTGCCGAATTCGTTGGACGAGTTTCTACCTACAAGATAACCAAATATGACAAGGTACAGCACAAGAAAGACAATGCGTAGACTACACTGACTGTTAAGCGAGAGCTATCACCGGAACGCAACTACACTTGAGGCGTCCTGAAGTTGCGGGTCTCCTGGCAAACCTACTAAGGAACCGGTTGCGAGGATCGATCACTCTTCTAGGGAGCGAACAATTGCCAACAACCCTGTCGTGGGCAACGTGAGTTCCCTACCACGATAAGAGGGAAGGAGCTGCCAAGATAGATGGACCCTTCCCGCGTTAAACATCGAAGGTATGCACCGCCGTGGGGAAGAAGGTCGGACAATCGGAAAAAAAATCCTAAAAACAAACTGCGTGTGCTACATGCCACCTGAGTTTGAGCAGAACGCCAAACACACACCGAATGGTGCAAACACAACCGCGCGCGCACATTTGCGCGGTCGATGCCAACAATAAAAACACATGCACAAGCACATTTTGCGCAGTCCATGCAAACAATAAAAACACGCACATCTTGACGCATCCATCTACCCGACACGCATGCAGAGTCGTCTATTTTACACATGAAGTGTGGGTTGCCATCGGCAAACACCAGCACGTGTGCCCGCTCCAACACAACAGTTTTTACGCTAAGGGAAAGGAATGAACATGAAAATATTAGCACAGGCAGACCCCGGTGCAATAAAAAAGTCGCACCGTCAAGGTTCGAGGCCGTCATCGTGCCCGAAGGCTGTAAAATACTACCACTATTCAACCAATCAGTATCGTCTCCAGGTTCGCAAAACCGTTTCGAGGATCGTTTTGTTTCCCACCCGATCACGCTGTTGACCAAAACGTCCGCAAAATGCGTCTCTACACGATATTGCTCACCTGAGACTTAACCGATGGCAAAGAAAACACATACACAGCGGAACTGACGCATTTTCATTGGTCAGCCGGTTTACGCGGTCGATGCTCACAAACAAAACACGCAGCAGCAGCAGCAGCAGCAGCAGCGGCAGCAGCGGCAGTAACGGCGCGATAGCCGATAGCGCCATGCAACCAACGGCTGTGCACCCCGTGCCTTCCACGCTGAGGACCAAGCACGCCATACCCACATCGTACTCGGAAAGACTCCGGACACCACTAAAAAAAAAAAACATTGGTGCGCATACGGCACGCTGGGGGATAGAGTCCTCCCTCGGACGATATATATACGATGCGACCTCGAAATGCCAAATATTCTACTCTCTCTCGCCGCTGGCCAGGCGATGCATTGAGCATGCATGCGTTCCCAACGCACCATTTCTGGTCAGCCGCGGCGATAAAACACAACACCCCCTTGCTCCACCTCTCTCTCTCACAAGTGTCACAAACGAAGGCCCGCCTCCGGCAAGCATCACCGAAGACGGCCCTCGCCGTGAACGGGGGGCTCAATTCATTCGCCCGGCGTTGAGAAAAAGGCCCAAAACCCTGCCTCGATACTACGCACGCACGACCGGACCGTATGCGCGTCCATCTCGGCTCCCCACGACGAAAAGCACGACCGTGCACTCTTCCAGAATGGCTCAACATGATTCGACTCAACACCCCTCGGCATTAAACGTACCCGTTCTCGAACCGACGCATGTTCATCCGAGTAGCTCGTAGGACCGGCTTCGCGACAAATAAGGTTGATGAGGGAATGGAACAGGGAGCGGGGGTACGCAGTCCCAAACCCTAAACCTACCCCAACTTCCTCCAATTTCACACATTATTCAACATGTTTACAAAAACGAAAACACTCTGCGAAAGGCTACTGACTTAACACCGCATGTCGAGAACGAAACAAAAAAAAACCATCTGACCCCCCCGCGCCAGGGCGGCTCTGTCCTCTCATTCGCTGAGGAAAGGCACGAGGGCTCTCGTCAATACCTCCGGCGTCTCGGCCCACTGAGCCGTGGTGATCCAGTCGCCTCCCTTGGTGCCGTGGTCGTTGCTGCCGGCTCCCTCCTCCAGCAAGATCTCGGCACCAACCGTTACCGCCGAGGGATCGCCGCGCGACGTCCGGTTCCTGCGTCACGTGAACGCGCGCGGGGGTGGGGGGGGGGGGGGGGGGTGCTCATAGTCGTGCATGCCGTAGTCGTTAGACCATTGACCTCGCATCCCTACAAAGCCGGGACGGAGCACGCCGGGTTCTCACCGGACCAGGCTCTCACATCACCAAGCGCGAAGCGCCGTGAGATATTCGGCGAGTCCCATGAAGGGTGCGCTGCATGCTGCTAAGGGTTTTCGGCATCTTGTGCCTACTTCCTTGCATACGGATGACAGCTGCGTATGACTTAATTTATTTTCTGGTGCATCCCTTCCTGAGACAGTTGTAAGCACTGTGTAACTGCCTCGAGGGTGCTTGACCATTTTAACACAACGTGGTGTGATCATCCCCCTTGCGCGGAGTGAGGGTTCTCCACCCCGCACAACATGATCTACTCGACCACCATCATGGTTACCACCGAAAAAAAACGGAGGGAAAAAAAAAAAACGGCACCCTGGTTGCCGAGTTCACGAAGTGAATGGGGGGGAAGGATGTCAACGCATGCCATAGATGCTATAGTCGTTAGACCATTGACCTCGCATCTCAATAATGCTGGGACGGAGCGACATCCTTGAAAGAGACGACCTTCCCCTTCGCCACGCAACCGGAAGGTCTCCTTTGATATCGTTGGGCGGTTAGACCGTTGACCTCGCATCTCAATATTGCTGGGACGGAGCGAAATGCTGGAAAGAGGGGGGCCCTCCGCTTTGCCACATGGCATGAGGAAGGTCTCGGCTGATCACCTCTCTTCGGGGGGCAGTAAGGTAATGCACGCGTCAAGCCTCTCTTCGGGGGGCAGTAAGGTAATGCACGCGTCAAGCCGGGAAGGGCATCTTGCATGACAACATACTGCATATACTATTATAGCAGACTCTCTCTCTTGCGACAGGCGCCACCAACAAGAAAACACACAACAAAGCAGCACATTCGCGCGAACTGTCATCACAACAACCAAAAGGAAAGGCGCAAAACAGCCGCGCGAACTGCCGCAACAAGAAAAAAAACTTAATGCCGCAAAACCCACCTGTGGTTTAGCTCGTCAGCGGCAGGCACCCGAACGTCGACCTTCTCGCTCATCCACTCCGGCAGCATCGCCTAGATACAACGAAGTCGTAAATTGGCTTTGGAAAATCATCGCCATGTGTGAACATGCACCACAACGCGTCACTGAGCACAAAAACAAGAAATATGTGGTTGCATGTCGATGCTCACTTGACCGTACGGATGAGTGGTGACAGACACATAGCGTTGGGGGCTTCAATTCAAACCGCAGCTGGAAGCACCCGCGCACACGGTGCAAGCGGGTAGTACCAACTGTGGTTGCCCGACAATCTCCAAATCACTGTATTGGATAGCAAGGTCTTCGACGGCACCAACGAGAGTAACCACACGGACTACTACAACCGTGCATCACCTTCAGGTCTTCCTCCAGCCTGTCGCCGAGCCCATCCATCCGAGCCGAGCCTCCCACAAGCACGATGTCGTCGAGCATGTCTGCCTTGGTGTCAGAGTCGAGCTCTGCTAGCGCATCAAGCACGACCTGAGAGAGACTCCTCGACACGCCTCCTTCGTTCCAGAGCCCAGGCTGCAGGTTGAGAAGAAAGCAATCGGCGGAATGGACATCAAAGTTGCGAACAGAACAAAACGAAGGAAGATTGAAGTTCGAAGATAAGGGTAGAGGAAAGGAACATCGTACGAACAACACAATAGTAGGCAGGAACATCGAAGTTACGAAGGAAACCGAACGAAGGAACATCGTCATTTTTCCGGGCGACAGCAGGATCAGCTCGGGTGGCATCTGATACGTGGGGAAGCTGCCGCAAGCAATCCAAAACGAAGACTGGCAGATCTGGATTCAAGAGGTCGAGCTCAAAAAAACACCGTAAGGATGCGAGATAACGCACGGTTCGATGATATCGCGCGTAACGGTAAAATCCCACCCTCGTGCGACAAAAAGTCAACAACGAAATCATTTAGAAAATCGATCGCACCCCCGTGCGTTCTCTCGCACCCTTGCGGTAGTCAAGACCGCACCAACAATAGCAGCCAAGAACATGGTGACTTGCCGTGAACAATATCTCCGGGGCGTGAAACCTCTCCCGGCCGATCTTGACGTCGAGCTCGCTCCCGGACTTGAGAGTGAAAGTCTTGGTCTTGGTCACCTCCTCGTCCGTATCCGTATCGTCGATGAAGCTGTCGGAAAACCAACCGTGAAATGGTGATAATACGGTACGGTACGATGCGGCATGGATTAGTCGAAACTCACACCTCTACCAGTCGTGAAGAAGGCAAACCGATCAAGGCGAACCGTAGCTACAACGACGACCATGCGAGGATGACCAAAAAGAGAACCCTCCACAGCAGCGCATAATTGCGGACGAAAGCGACAATACAAAAACAACGACTGGCAGCGGGAGACAAGTAGAGTACAAAGGTGCATCGCCTCTGACGACATGAAACCATGAGCGCAAAAAAACGGAACTTAGTCTAAGCCTGATGAACAGCCGAGAAACATTGGGGCGTTTCGGAAATATGTTTCGTTTTGCCCAGACTTGATGCCCAGACAAACTTGCCCAGATAAAAGTTGGCATCAACAAGATCCGAAAAGAGGCTCAGATCTTTTGTCGGCATGACGTGGCAACGGCCCGCCGCTGATTGGCCGAAAGACTCGCGCGTGCCGTTCCTCAGGCCTCTTCTTCTCCCAAACCAAGCAAGAAAATGGAAAGTAGGTTTGCTTGGTTGGGTGCTGCCATCTATCATCCAAGGTGCCAGGAGCATCTAGCGGGAGTGTTTTTACCGCAGAGAAGCACCCTGTCAAGGGATGTAGCAAGCAAACTCTCAGCCGCTCAGGTGGCGTCCTGCTTCAATCAATCGAAGAGAGAGGCGCCGGTCAGCAACAGCAGCTAGCTAGCTAGCTGCAGCAGCAGTGAGCAGCAGCAACAGCAGCTTCAACCTAGAACAACCACCATTCACACAGCGATTTTTTTAGCTGTATTCCACACCGAAACAGCTGTGTAGAGGAGACGGCGCCGATAGAGAGTAACACAAGGCAACTTTTGGGCCACCTCCCAGCAGTTGGAGTGACCTACAGCTCATGGTATGGGTGTTCTCCTGAACTGGTTGTAGGCAGAAAGTTGCTCTTCTTATTGAGGCTGCTGGTGAACCTTGTCTCATCCCACCCTCATCCCCTCTCGGTTCCTTCCACAGCGATCACCGCATACCTACACACACATCGACGAACACCGCCCGCATCGGAGGAGGAGCAGGTCTGTCTGTCCAGTGGTGGTGAAGCTTGGACGAGTTGGTACGTTGGTACCCTGTGATGCAATCTGTCGTGGTTTTTCGCTACTCTGTTGCTGCTAAAATATCAAATACCTGAGCCTTTTCAAAAGGAACCCACGCCTCAGGTAAGATGAGGTTGGTGAGAGGTTTTTGTCTGAGCCGTGGGTGAAAAGTGGGTCTGCCTCAGACAAATAAAAGCGTTCCCGGCTACAGATTCCAAAAAATCTGACCCTCTTTTTGTCTGAGTCTTTTGTCTGACCCAAAAATACATTTCCGCAAGGGTCTATTGGCGGCGCCTTGCGTGTAACCCCATGCCAACAACGATCGCCCTCACCGAAAGGACTACTGTTACCCCGCCAGCTTACAGCAAGACCCCATGTGGCACTTGACCTAGCCAAACTCACTCTCTCGAGTCGCAAGCCTCGTAGCCGGAGAGCATTGGCGACGCCTGCGCCCCCTTGCAAACCCGCATGGCCTTCCGCTTGAACGCCCCGTACTCTTCCACCTCCAGCGCGAAGTCCAGGGGCACGTAGCAGTGCTCCTCCTTCATCTCGCGGGTGTACTCCAGCCGTCTCCGATCGGTCTTGACGGTGGGGGGAGGAAAACACAAGCCACGACGAAGAGGGATGATGATGATGAGATCCCCGGAAGGGTGCGAGATAACGCACGGGTCGGCAATATCGCATATAATAGGTCGGAAATATCGCAACGGGTCAGTGATATATCGCACTCCCGTGTGGGATTAAAACTCAAGGAAAAAACGGTGACAAAAAATCGGTCGCACCCCCGCGCGATCTCGCGCCTTGTTCTCGCGCATCCTCACGGAAATATGGCAGGGGGCGGCGGGGATTCAAGGCAGGGCGCTTCTACGGATAAATTTTTCAGCTCTTTGAGAGGGTAGAACAAAAAAATATTCACCAGGACGGGCTGTTGTCCGTTGTGGAAATTGGCGCAATGAAAAAAAATACGATGTGATGTGGATGAGAGGGTCGGTGTTGATGCACGGCCGAATCGAGTGCGAACACTACGCAACAAAAACGTTTCTCTCTCGCGCCCGGACCTACGACAAGCCGACAGTCTCCACTGATCATTCTCCAACCCCTCCGCGCGTGAAACCGTGAAACTTAAGAAAGCTTGCAACCTCAACTACTCATTCCCTAACCCCAAGACCGCTAAACGCTCAACCAAACCGGCACACTCACTCCCTCACTGCACCCAGACAAGCTGACCACCTCATGCTCCAACCCCAACACTCCTCCGAGCATGGAAAACCGACACCCTCGCTCACCATCTGGTTGAAGTGCTCGTTGGTGCGGCTCAGCAGCATGTAGTCCAGGAACTTGGTCACGTCCCCTCCCCCGCAACATTCCGACCTCACCGCCGGCGGCACCGGGAACCCGTCGAAGATGGGCGTGACCGACACCCCGGACTCGCCGATGTCTACGATAACGCCGACCTTCACGCCCACGGCCAAAGCGGCCAGCTGCGCTTCGTTTACCATGCGAATCGCTGGAACCTGCACCAGGCATGAATGACAACAACCGGTGGTGTGAGTTGCGCTTTGAAAACCCAAATAATCGCCGGCATCTGGTTCGGGAGAGGCTTCAGTTGACAGACAGAAGTCCTCTGCTGGAAATGATCACATGCAGAGGCAAGTACTGGATTCGGTAACGTGAAAGAGAGGGTTAGTTCACGGCGGAACACTGCTACGTATATGCATATGATGTGCTGGTGAGCTGATGAAAAGGGGCGTATAATAGTGAACGTTGGCAGATTTCAATTGTTGCGTGATGTGTGTGTGTCTTGAATCCTAGCGCCGGCCGCGCTGACCGGCTGACCAAAGACAAGACGTCAGTCTCGGTGCGGTTGAAAACAAAACAGTAGCCTTCGCACTGTTTTTCGTATTAAGCAAACATGTCGGATAAAGCATACAATCGGGGAAGGTGGTTAAACATGTTGGATAAAGCATACAATCGGGCAAGTTGGGTCAGGGTTAGGGTTATGAAATAGGGTCTGCGTCCCCCCTCACTTTTCTCTTTCCTCATAAACATTAACCGGGCCAAGGCGGTCCAAAAAGAAAGGCAGCGGAGGGAAAAGGGCTGGCACGACACGCCACGACACTCATCCTTGCCAGCAGCCAAACTCACCCTGTGGACCTCTAGCAGAACCGATGCGAGAGCGAGCACCTCGTCCACGGTGGCCGTGGGCTTGTACGTGAGCAGCGTCGGGGACAGGCTGGAATCCTGCTTAAGCAGGCCGTACGCGTGGTCCGCAAGTCTTACCGTGTCCTCCCTGAAACACACAAGAAAAAGTCGCATCGTATTGTAGCATACATGACACCGTCGACGTTAGGGAGGCATATATGTACTGCTGTAGGATAAAGAACGGCATCGGGCCTTCCTCCTTTGTGCGGCCCCGGTTGGTGCGTCCAGAAATCGGAACGAAACGTGCGAAGACAGACATTTAGACCGCATGGGATTGCAAAAAATAATATCATGATTACATCACCGACAAGCAGGTGTAAGAGGTAAGGACACGGGTGTAAGAGGAAACAGTGTCTTATTTTCTGGCATCTCCGGCTTTCAAGAGGGATTGGAGGACACATCATTTCAAATGCTCAACAGCATAATCGCTTGGACATAAATAGTGAACAGCGTTGCAGCTAAACTATGTAGAGAAACGGCGACAGGGTATGTATCCTTGTAACCCCAACCAGCACAATCGAACTTCGAAGAATGATCGTGAAAACATAGGGAAGGAAACGCGAAGCGTTCCAGACGTGCAGGAACCGAATATGTCCTCCGTACGAACGCTGGGAAGGGGGTAAACAACAAAAAGTCTGAGTCAACCCAGAAGAAAAAAAAACGGAAAAAAATACACACACACAACACATAAACACACATGGGATAGATAGGTCTCCGTTAACCCTTGTGATCAGCGTATGCATACCAAAAAAAAAACTTGCCGCTTTTCTCTGCTCAGGGAACCGTAGAATCGCAAGTTGGCTAACTGTACAACGCGACAAATCCATCGCTTCTCTACCATGGACGCTTATCTGTGGAAGATATGGAATTGTCGTGTTCTTCGCAAGAAAAGAAAGGACAGGAAAGATAGCAAGTATATGTTCGCACCTGCTCGGCGGCTGGTCTCTCCTCCGCATCGGGCACGACAGTCGGAGCTTGGAGCGCAGGGCGATGGAAGGGTGGTCCAGGCAGCAATACCACGCATCCCCTCCCACGAAAACGCCAGTGCTATCAAATGACATCGAGTTGAAGGGGGCAGGGGACAAGTCAATCACTCGCGGCGCCACTCTATGAAACGTGGGAAACCTCATGAAACAAGGCTTAGATAGAGGGGTCGCGGATGTCAGCAGTATCACGCGTCCCTTATCACGAAATCGCTGGCGCTGCCAAGTGTGTTTTGGTGAGATGGTGACGGACGACCTTGAGTGGAGGGGGACGAACACTCCGTGAATGTGGGAGATTAGCCAAGTGCAGGCGACGGGACGATACGATTTCGTCCTGCATATTGTCAAACATCGAAACACGACTGGGAGCACGCTATCTCACCTCGGTTAGTGATTCTTTCTTCTCCGCAGAAGTTCGTGCAAACCCATGCCCAAGATCCGTGCACATGCGTCCCCGCGTCTTACTCGAACAAAACAAAAACAGCACTCATTCTCGCCTGGAGTACGAGGGTGCGACCAACATCAAACCCATGCACATGCCCGCTACTTCTCCATCTTCGAACGAAAACGAACACAGCACTCACTCTCGGAACTTGGAGTACATGGGCGCCGCCAGCGACGACGCTCCGTTAACGAGCTCGCCCAGGTCCGCTCCTTCCTTCGAAGGCCTCGCCACGCAGCAGGGGAAGTCATCGAAGTACGAGGACGACTTACCCTCCTCCCCGGACGGCGTCACGACCCCCGCCCTCACCCTCCACGCGCCGAGCTCCAGCACCACCGTGTTCCCCTCTCTCCCGAGTCCGTGATCCGCGGGCGCGAGCCTCACCATAGGAGACAGACAGCTCAACGGCGGCGACTGGGCGAGCCGCGCGGCGGCGTGCGGCAGCAACCCTGCCCCGGGCGACCAGCTGGCCCTCGACTTCTTGCCGCCCCTGAGCGGCAACGGCGACAGGCTCTTGGCGCAACCGCCGCCGTTGTCGCCACTGCCGGCGGGGCGGTACCCCCCCACACCTGAAGTCACGCTAGCACGGGCCCCCCTCGGCCGCCTTCCCGCCGGGCGCGGGGAGAGGGACATGCTGATGCGGCGGGCGGAGGTGCTCCTTCCACCGCGGTGGACGCCGACCTGCTGGCCTTTGTTTCGATCGAACATGGCGGCAGCGGCGGCGTAGGTAGCCGATACGGGTGGGTCGGCAGATGGCCGGTCGTCGGAGTAGTCTAGTCGGGGTGCTAAGGGCGACAGCGACAGCCGGGCGGCGCCGGCGGAGCCGGCGTCCTTTGCGTCGTCAGCCGAGAGCTCTTCATTTTCGACGGCCCTGTCGAATGCCTCTTGCACACCGTCAAAGCTACTTCTCCCTCCGTCGGACTCGGACTCCTCGTCCCCTTCCTGCACTACGCTCATCTTGCCCCCGTAGCCGGGCACACCCCCTCCTTCTTCCCCTTCGCTCTCCGAATCTTCCTCCTCTGCTGCCGAGCTCTCCGTGCCGCTGCTGTCGGCCTCCTCGACGATAGCCCCAAGTCCAGAGCTCTCCCCAGACGAGTCGATCTCCTCCTCGGAAGACAAAGAAAACGTCCGCGTCATGTCCCCACCTGCAACAGCAGCACCATCATCATCGCTGTCTACCGCGTTCTCCCGTCTACTCGCCGCCCCCGGCATCCCGACAGAGCTTCGCCCGGAGGACCCCACGTTTCCGTAGAGCTGCTGCTGCTGCTTCCGGGTGGCCATGGCTGCCTGCGCTCCCCCCGCTTCCGCCGCCGCGGAAGCGACGCGAAGATTGCCCAGCTCCTGCCTGAGTTCGTTAAGCGCGTTATCCTGGCTCGCGACCAAAAATAAGGGGGAGGGGGGGAGCTTGTTTGCGAAACCGAAGTCAGCAGAGCGTACCGACCAAACCGAAGAGTATTTCGCGATAGGGGAACGGACGGAAAAAAGAACATCAGCTGTTGTACATCACCGACCAAAATAGAAACCCGGGGCACCAGACTCCAAGAACCTTTTGAAACCACATTCGTTTTCTCCCTCCCCCGTCCGCCCCCCCCTCGGTGTATACCATCGGGATTGGGTTTTCGTCGCTTGGCAACGACGTTGTAAAACAAGCC